AATATTTTACTATAATTTTTTTTCCTCCCTCGATCACTAACTTCACCATCTCGTCAGTACCAATCCATGAGTTTATTTTTTGATTTATATTAATGTGTATATTATGTTTTTAATATATTTTTTTAGTGAATAGTGTTAACTTTTTAACTTTTTGAATAATTTTTTGTCTTTTTAAATTTTTCAAGAATTGCCAAACTTAACCTTAAAAACAATTAAAAAAAAACACAACAACACTATAACAGTGAATGAAACTTACTCTCACATTATTAATGCTACTACTAATTAGTCATCTTAACTATTTTCCATGATTTCATCGCAACATAATTGATCGAAACTGCGTCCGAATATGTTTTCTTTTTCCGATGTACCCAAAAAGAAACCGCGTCTGAGGTAGGATCAGGGAAATTTGATTCCAAAAAGTGAAGAAATTTGTCTAGTTGTACACTCCTTTATTTGCTTGGAACCTTCCCTTCGGTTTCCTCTAGTGAATAGTAAGGGTTGGTTTGGGGTGTCTTAAAAAAGTGTATTTTTTGTCTTTTTACGAAAAGATATGCAGAAAAGTAGAGAGGTGATGTGATGAAAAAAAGATAAAAAGATGGATTATATAGTCTATGCCAAACCAGTCCTAAGTAGACTTCTCAAGGACTTGCACCTCCCAAGAAGAACCCAAAATAATGTTTATTTAGCCTCCATTTGGGAAGTGGGTTGGTTTTTTGGTTTTTTGATTTTTTTAGCTATTTTAATCTGGGCTAAAAAGCTTGGTTTGGGAAGGGCTTTTTGACTTTTTAGCTTTTTTGACTTTTTCTGTGAGAGAAGAGTGTAATGATTATGGGTTGTATGTGATGTTTTGTTTTTTGTGACTAAAATAATATATTTTGTCTTTTGTGACTAAAATAGTCAAAAAAACCTGAAAAAGCTCTTTCCAAACTGACCCTTAAGCAGCTTTTCTGGTTGAGCTCTGAACATGAGAAAGGGTCACTCCACCTTCAGCTTACACAAGTGAAATAGTGGAAGGGGAAGAGAGAGAGCCAGAGAGTGAGAAAAAAAAAATGCAGGTTGCTCTACAGAAATCCATTGACAATACCGTCAATCTAATACGGGAGCGCTTGGAAGAAAATAGAAGAGAAGGAATAACAGAAAGGGAGACCATTTCCATAGGCAGAGTCCCTCAAAACCTTGAAAGAATCAGCATCAGGGCCATTGAGCCAGAAATGGTGTCGATAGGCCCTTATCACCACGACAAATATCTTCAATTCCAAGATTACAAATTGGGTTTTCTTGATTCCATACTTACTCGAACAGGACAGCCGGAGATTTCTTTAAGGAACATGACGCAAGCCATGACAACATTAGAGAAGAGGGCAAGAGGACAATACTCAGAGCCGATTGATATGTCAAGTCGTGATTTCATTCAGATGATGCTATTTGATGGTTGCTTTATCATTGAGCTCTTCCAACAAGTTTGCGCACTACTACAAAAATACTTAAAAATCACACTTTGACAAAAAAAAGATCACACTTTTATTAGAAGTGTGATAAAAAAAATTAGATTGATATTTTAATCACACTTAATTTGATTGAGTGTGATAATATTTATTTTTTATGTCACTTTTCAATTAAGTGTGATTATATATATATATATATATATAACATTCTAACTAAAGTGTGATTATTTATATATATTTTTTAATCACACATTCTAACTAAAGTGTGATTATTTATATATATTTTTTAATCACACATTCTAACTAAAGTGTGATTATTTATATATATTTTTTAATCACACATTCTAACTAAAGTGTGATTATTTATATATATTTTTTAATCACACATTCTAACTAAAGTGTGATTATTTATATATATTTTTTAATCACACATTCTAACTAAAGTGTGATTATTTATATATATTTTTTAATCACACATTCTAACTAAAGTGTGATTATTTATATATATTTTTTAATCACACATTCTAACTAAAGTGTGATTATTTATATATATTTTTTAATCACACATTCTAACTAAAGTGTGATTATTTATATATATTTTTTAATCACACATTCTAACTAAAGTGTGATTATTTATATATATTTTTTAATCACACATTCTAACTAAAGTGTGATTATTTATATATATTTTTTAATCACACATTCTAACTAAAGTGTGATTATTTATATATATTTTTTAATCACACATTCTAACTAAAGTGTGATTATTTATATATATTTTTTAATCACACATTCTAACTAAAGTGTGATTATTTATATATATTTTTTAATCACACATTCTAACTAAAGTGTGATTATTTATATATATTTTTTAATCACACATTCTAACTAAAGTGTGATTATTTATATATATTTTTTAATCACACATTCTAACTAAAGTGTGATTATTTATATATATTTTTTAATCACACATTCTAACTAAAGTGTGATTATTTATATATATTTTTTAATCACACATTCTAACTAAAGTGTGATTATTTATATATATTTTTTAATCACACATTCTAACTAAAGTGTGATTATTTATATATATTTTTTAATCACACATTCTAACTAAAGTGTGATTATTTATATATATTTTTTAATCACACATTCTAACTAAAGTGTGATTATTTATATATATTTTTTAATCACACATTCTAACTAAAGTGTGATTATTTATATATATTTTTTAATCACACATTCTAACTAAAGTGTGATTATTTATATATATTTTTTAATCACACATTCTAACTAAAGTGTGATTATTTATATATATTTTTTAATCACACATTCTAACTAAAGTGTGATTATTTATATATATTTTTTAATCACACATTCTAACTAAAGTGTGATTATTTATATATATTTTTTAATCACACATTCTAACTAAAGTGTGATTATTTATATATATTTTTTAATCACACATTCTAACTAAAGTGTGATTATTTATATATATTTTTTAATCACACATTCTAACTAAAGTGTGATTATTTATATATATTTTTTAATCACACATTCTAACTAAAGTGTGATTATTTATATATATTTTTTAATCACACATTCTAATTAAAGTGTGATTATTTATACACTACTACTTTTTAATCACACTCC